TCCAGATTAATCTTCTACCATCTGTTTAATCCAGGAACTACACCCATACTGCCATCGGTCACTATGAGCCGTAACACCTCAATCTCTGAACAAAACATGCTTTACGGTGATAGTTAAGTTTTCAGATGCTGTCTGTATACCATGATCTGCAGGGTAAACAATGTTTACGACAGTTTTGTGACCTTTCTACCTGTCTCGTAATCACTTCAGAGGAAACGTTTCACTTCAAGCATCACTTTCAGCATCAGTGCAAACTTCATGTGGTATTTCCCCCCCAGTTAAAAAGTGCAAGCTGGCATTTCTCTGAATAAAAACTGTGCTGAATGATAACCCGGGGTGGCCAGTGCACTATAGTATGTTTACAGGCATGGTATCAGCAGTCTACATCCTGCTGTTGTGAGTGTGTGTGCATGTGTGTGCGTGCGTGTGCACAGGACTTGTCAGTCATCCTGTTATGTATGTTCAGCTTACAGTTTTGCATACAGTATGAGTCCATCTGTCATGTGACTCTCTATATTACTCATGGTATTATTATGACTGACACGTTCTTCTTTTTACCAAGTCTGTGCTTCACCATGTTCCTTTTTTATTTGATTTTTCTGAGACAAAGTCAGGTGAATTTGAGAATAATCACTGCTTTGCTTAGGGGAACATCACACACCCAAGAGCACTTGGTAAATAGTCATGTAAATACACTATATGAGTAAAGGAAAGGTGCCACGGTGAGCATCTGCTATGAGGTATAATAAATCAAAGGTTTGGAGAAGTACTGTGTTAGCCGATGTAAACATTTATTTATAAACCTTTATTTTTCAACTGTTGTATTTATTGCATCAAATCTGAATACTGCCGAACAGTTCATTTGTAAGAATGGACAGACAAACAGTGTAACACGTCTTATTTTAAAGCTGGACTGTGAAAGTTTTTGATTTTATATTTGGGTTTTATCTTGTTTTGCTGATTCTTCTGTGTTATTTTTAATATTTCCGACTTAAAGTTCAAAGGAGAGTGTTGGTTTGTGTGGGTGTTGAGGGTTTATACCAAGCCTCAGGTTTGCAGTTGGGTGACTTTTCAGTCAGTCATGCGTAAACTTAGCAGTTGGAGGCAAATATGAACTCATCCTGTTGTGTATTCCTGTGAACTCTTTCTAAGCAGCGTGTTAGGCTGGTGAGGAGAAAAATGCTCAAGTGTGGTTCCATTTAAGTGGCATTAAATTCAATTTCTGGGCCACTTTAATGCTCTTAAACTGGTCCGCTGTTTGGTGCTGGGCAGGCACACTGACTACAGATGCAACCGCTGACTGTATATAAAGATGGACAAATAGCACATGTCCACTTTATCTTCCAAAACTGATGGAAGATGTATGCTGGTGACAAGATCTCTGTTGTAGTGAT